GTTCATATGAGGTCAATGTACAACCTAATGTGAGATGTTTTACATTTTTGCATAACAGGGCCAACTACTTAAAAGGTTATTTGGTCACATTCACATTATGAAAGTATGAACAGCCTCTGACCTGATGAAAAGAAGTTTGGTGGGTTGTGTCCCAGAAAATCTGAAAGTATGATCATCCATTGTTTACAGTACCATGCTATTTGTGTTACTATTATGTGTACATGGAGAGCTGGACAAAAATGCAAATAAATTGTGAAACAATGTGAAAATAAAATGGTGCCTACTCTCTCTTCTCTTTGTTGCACACCTTTATAGTTCAGACTTGGCGGAATCATTTTACGAGTGCTGTGATCTTCATCGGCTCCTTGACTCTCGAGTCCTGATAAATTGTAATTACTGATACAGGCTCCGGCTCTGGAATAGATGAGCATCTGATAAGATTCATCTCGCCCTGCAGGCAGATTCCCAGTCTGATATTCCCAGGATGCTTGCAGGTTGTGGGGTAAACAGTGCTTAAATCTTTTGTTCTCATCTAATTCATTTATTTAAGACTGTCACTTTTATTTAAGAGATGGTTGAATTCAAATGCTTGTGTCATGGCCATCTGATCTGTGGCAAAGTTGTGGGCCGATCTTGTCATGTTCAATTCATCTCATTTTTGTTGCCGTTCTGATGTATTTGCAGGTTTCAGTGAAGATATGTTAACAGCTTGGCAACCGCGGAGTCTGGTTTTAATCAGGATTCATCTGTTATAAGCGAGATGGGCCGCTCTAATAAAATGCAGCGTACTGTCGTTTGGCAGAGCTGAGTGAGAGCTTAATGAATATTTTGTAGGAGCGATGTGTAATCTCTTAAAGCAATGAGTGTTTCATTTCATGTATTACTGGTATATCAAGTGATTGTTTGTACCCCACCACGGTAAAGACGATCTTCAGCTGTTGACCACTGGAGTTCAACAGCTGAAATCAAACCAAAAATGACAGTTGCATGTTGTTTGTGTGCAACCATCCTGTGGAGCACCAAGAAGATCTGTACGTTTATTACACATCAAGGTATGAATACATTGAGGTTAAACGCCTGGGACTCGCCATCCAGTCAAGGTTAATGAAAAAAACTGATGACACCTCTATGATGAATGAAACTTTTGAAGACAAAACAACAAGCGCAGTTAACTTTGCCATTATGAACATGCTACAAAAGAAAAATACACCTGGGTTTGATGGTTAGGTTTATAGTTTTTGGATGGAGGGTCTTTATAAGTGACCAGGTTGTACCCACCTGTCACCCAATGTCATCTGCGCTTGCCTCCAGCCCGTCCCTGGGACCCTAAAAATGGATGGATGGAAGATTTTTATGAGTCTCTGTCTGATAAGGTTTATACTTGTCTCATTTCACATTTTTTTGGCTGTTTGTTTAAGCCATGCTTTTAGCACCACCAACAAGTGAAACGTTTTTTCTCACCCTGTAAATTAGCTCAACATATACTTGATATGTTGGCATATTTTTTTTCCAGATATTCATGGTTTCCAGAGGATGAACCTCCCCTCACCTTGATGATACCTTTAACTTATCCCTTAATAACTAGGTATATGTTGAATGTAGTGACTTTGTTAATCCCTGAGCTGTTAAACTAGAATCCCCATCATCATGAACACCATTCAGCTCAGACCACCACTGTGTACAGAGACTGGGTGCATGGCCGTAGACTTTTGTTAAATATGACCTTTATGTACAGCATTGTTGTGGGTGGGCGTGCAGGTGGGTGGGTGAGGGACGAGGTGGTGTAAGGCTGCAGGAGGGAGGCGTTGATGTGCCTCAGGAGATCGGCGCCAGGCGAGGTGATTAGCACAGCTGTCACCCGTGAACTAATCACTGCCAGATGCCACCACGCCCCTGTCCTCACGATTATATCATCACACAGACAAAAGAAGCAGCACAGTGTGTGTTTCATTTTCATTTGTGTTACCTCGTCAGTTCAGGTATAAACACTGACCTTGTCAGGACCAGTAGACCTGAGGGCCTGATGTCTGGTCATAACGAGGCAAAACCTCATTTCTGAGGTTCTGGTTAATGTGAGGCTCTGCATGAGTTGGTCATGTTTAAGGTTAGGTTCAAAATTTTGGTTATAGGCTGTCCACAATGATTGGGAGTTGATGGAAATCCTAACAAAAATAGCTATGCAAACTTGTGTGTGTGTGTGTGTGTGTGTGTGTGTGTGTGTGTGTGTGTGTGTGTGTGTATATAAAGAGGTGTTTCTACTCATGTCATTGTGAGGACCATTCTGAGCATAAACCTTACAGAGTGGGGACAACTGTGCTGTTATAGGGTTATATAGGGCTATTAGGGCTAATTTGGTTAGGGTTAGGGTACGGATCAGGGTTAGGCATTTAGTTAGCTATAATGTCCTCACTAATATAGACTGTGCGTGTGTGTATGTCAGTCAGTTACTTTGATTCTGACAAATATATAGCAATAAATAAGACTGAGTTAGTCAGACCAGGTTTCTGCTTCATCAGCTGCGTGAGGGATTTGATTCTAAAGATGTGAAGCTCAGTAGAAAAACACTTTAAGTCTCACTGGTTTCTAGGTAATATTTTCCTAATTAATTGAAGGCCGACACTCTGGGATCTGAGAGCTTGGAGGTACAGAGGAGCACGTTGAAGAATGGAAAGATAATGTATGTTCTCAGTAAAAGGACTTTGAAGTTCACCCTGGCTTGAACTCAGTCGATAAAGGACAGTAAAACAGGTTAAATAAGGTGAAGTATGCTACTCATACCTCATACTATAATCTGGCAATAAGTTTTATTAAATTTTGAAAAAAGGTGAGATAATAGAATGCTGCAATTAGTTCGTTTTTAATTGTACTTTTATTCTAGACAGAAATGCAAATGTACTGATTCCCCTCTGGCTATTGCAGTGGACATCAACTAAACCACACAGGAGCAGATTCAGATACAAATTCAATTCCATTAAAAAGTGACAATTGCCAGTAGTTTGAATTCAATCAAGAAAGACTTCAGTTGAAAAATGAACATAATGTATTGTTGTGCACAATAAGAGATGAAAGGTGATGTGATATAAATGAGAGTCCATGTGGCACTTCAGCCCCTTGTGATGTCATCAAGGTTGCTGGATATGGAGGCTGGAGGTGATTAGCAAGACGGAGGAGGAGGATCACAGCGAATCACTGAAATGACAGCTGACAGCAAGAGAGACAAGCAGATTTCAATTTTGACAGTAACAACTTGATTGATTGATTGAGATCGTGACACAATCTGATTGGATTATTGTAAACACCCAACAAGAGGCAGGGAGAGTAAGAGAGATTTTTTAATGAATGACATGCAGAGAAAGTCTTCCTTATTGAATTTACACTTTGTCTAAAACAGAACAGAACTCTGACAAAGTCCCAACACAAGGTCAACCTGCATCCAGGGGTCATCAACACCTGACCATTCACTGAGGTCTGTGACAGATGTCTAAAAATACATACATCAACATAGACCAATATAGGCTCCTAATTCATATCTGCCTAAACCTACCCCACTGGAGTATCTCTTCAGATGTGCTGTGTGGCCTAATTACAATCTAATTTGAGTTCTTGGCCTAGTTCCTGACTATCTGACTTAATAACCACAGGGAATTCTGGGTGTCACAGACACCAACAGCATTTCCTTCATTCTCTTTTATTGAAGTTACAAATGCAGCTTGTTTCCATGTCCTGCTGAATATATTGTGAGAAACACTTCCACCTATTTTATATAGTCTGTCTTTATCATATATGTTTCTATGGAGCATATTACTGATGATCCTCCAGCACAGTTCACATTTCTGCTGACCTTACCAAAGCACAAATCTAAAGTTGCTCGGAAAAAAATGCATCTGTAGCCATTCAATGAGAAAACCATGATACTGAGACTTGGAACTAATCCTGATAAATATTCTGTCAGTTTTTATTCTCCTCAAAGTTACATTTTCTTTGTGCGCTGATGCAGGAGTGCTCCGTTTTACTATGACCATACACAGCAAAAACAGATCTTTGATATGATGGATTACTTACTTGAATCAAGCAGGTTTTTTAGGGAGAGTTTTTTTTAAAGGTAAAATATATAGAAAAAAATAGCATCATTATGCATTCAAATATACTGCACATTATTTTCATGCAATTTTCTAGTGAATTACATTTTTCTGTCAAGGCTGATGTAGCTGCCCCTGTAAAGGTTCTCTTCTATATTAAACACAGATTATAATCCAACCGTAATCTGAAGGGTCACTGTATAGTACCATTAATTTAAACAGACAAACTCTCTGTCAAGTTCGAAGAATAAATGACTTGCTCTTATTACCTCTGCCAAGGAGGTGATGTTTTTTGCAGTATTTTATTAGCCGCATTACACAAAACTATACGACTGATTACAACTAATCTTGGTGGAGGGATGCGAGTTCAGGAAAGAACTCAATACATTTTGGTGTGGATCTGCATCAGGGAGCGGAGCCAGGTTTTTCTTTCACACTGCAAGATGGGGAGTTCCCCTAAACAGTTTAATTCATTTCTCAGATAACGGTGGTAAAGGTGTAAATCTCATGAAAATTCAGACATATTATGAAGAGTGATATCTATTAATGCTATTTTTAAACATTGGTTTGAACTCATTCAGTGTTGAACATGTTTTCAGTTCCTCTGCACAGTTATTCAAGAAATTGACTTATTTTACTTTAATACAGTTATGTATAAAAGTGATTCTTCTTTTTCAAATGAACTGCTTCCCCTCAGCTCATGCTGATGTTGTCATATTGGAAACTCTTTTTGGATACCGTTGGAAGTAATTCAACCTGAGGTGAACACCTGGAAGTGAGGTTGCATGTTGCAGCTGAACACCCCTCACCTCACCCTCTCCCCTAACCCTAACCTGTGGCAGCTTCAGTTGTCATAAAAACTCAAAAGGTGTTTAGTTTGTCCAGTCCGGGCTACTGTAAAAAACATGGCAGAGAGGACCTTCTCCTGATCCAAATATAAAATATTGAAATATAGGATTATTTTATATTCAGTCTCTGCCAGTAGATCTCTGTGACCTGAATCTTACACGCTGGAGCTTTAAGTTTGTTGAGTCACTGGGTTGATTTTTCTTAGGTGGCACTCTCGCTCCTCCGTACAGAGGAAGCAGTGGGAGGGTTTCCTCCTCCAGGCTTCTCATCTCGCAGACTGTTCATGACTCAGACTCTCTCAGCTCTGCTCGACATGTAAGTGGACAAATGTGTTTCTCTCTCCGCTTGAATGTGGCTTCACCAGCGCACACACACACAGTACACACACACAGTACACACACACAGTACACACACACAGTACACACACACACAGTACACACACACACAGTACACACACACACAGTACACACACACAGTACATCTACACGTTCGCCAGGAGCGAGCAGCGACATGCTCACAGCAGGAAGCGGACGGGACTGTGCACGTGTGTGTGTGTGTGTGTGTGTGTGTGTGTGTGTGAGACAGATTTATTGTGTAACCGCCTCACACAGTAAAGAATAACAGCCATAAGTCAGTGACGGTAGTTTCGCGTTGGGAGAGCCTGGTTGTGCAGTGACCCACTGAGACTCACTGTGTGGAGGGTGTGTGTGTGTGAACGTGACGTTGTGAGGACACACACTGTTGGTAACACAATGTTTTATTCCATCTTTTTAAATGCTTTTCATTTGTAAGATGTTTAATTTCTGTATTTTTGCTCTTTGTGTGATCTTCCATTTTTATTTTATATATTTTATATATTTTTAAGTATTATTATTATTATTATCCATGATTAATTATAATGATGCTGTCAGTATTTTTGCTCAAACCTGTCATGTCTCCTCCTTTCATGCTTTGCTCAGGAATTTGATGTATATTATTATGATTAGTAGACAAAGCTACTTCAATTTACTACTAGTTCAGCACTGGAACAAAATTCTGTATGTGATAATAATTATTATAATTGTAAAAAAAAAAAAGGAAAACAATTCAAAGCTAATTAAAGGCAACTATAAGACACAAATGATGATTGTATTCTGTATTTTTCTGCTGTATTTTGTGATTTATTTATTGTTATTTTATTTATGTACTGATCTGGATCTACAAGTCTGAAGTCAAGCTTTACTCTATATTGGTCCAATAAACATGTGCACTAAATGTGGGAAGGAAATGTGTTAAATATGTTATTGATTGACTTAAGTTGGTTATATAATGACATGTGTGGCAGTGAAAAAGTTGGTGGGAATTAATGTTCACCTGCAACAGCAACTGTGGTTGAGCTAAAATAAAATCGAAACATAACAGAACCACACACAAACACATTTAAGTAGATTTGCATTCTGACCTTTCTTGGCCATTGATGACAATATTTTGTTTTTGCCAGATTACCTGTGCCATGGCATCTCCACTGAAGTGTCTGGTACATGATGATAGCAGGTACCAGAAATCCTTCCAGATTTTTCTGGAGCGCTCCTCTGAGCATCAGTGTATGCAGGACTTCATCCACAACATGCTGCCAGACATACTCACCAGGTATGAGTGAATTCATAACCGCTTTCCACTAGACTTGAATACATTAAAGTTCTGCTGAATGCAATATGTGAGAATTGAATAGTATTCAAAATGAGACACAGTACAAATACAGTATTATTGTAGGGGAGTTTACCCTCAACCCTAAAAAAGTTTACAAAACCTGACTTGAATAACAAGATCCTCAGATAACTGATGAACAGCATGACCTATCTGGAAGAATTAAGTTTTAACCTTCATACAAACTCCATTAGTGCTCAACTGATATTAGTTGAAGTGAGTGTATATTGATAATGGCAGCCAATAATACATTACAAATTACAAAATAATATCTAAGGTAGTTTATAAGTAGTGTCACCCTTGCATGGGTTGTCCACAAGTAGGTGCTGACATCTTTAAGTTTAATTTTTATATGAGAAGAAAAACATTTTTGATTGTTATTTTGTTTGTGTACAGAATCGAATAATGATACTAGATTAACAGAACAATTGATATTGGCCTAAATGATTGTGTCAGAGTCAAGAGATTACCTTCAGGGAGGAAACTGTCTCAACTTTTAAGCAGTGGAGAAGGGAAAACTTTAAAACTATATGAATTTGAGCTGCAGCTGAATATTCCTCATCTCAACCTCCCCTTCCAAACAAGAAGGAGAACCTGTGGTGAACTTCGGTTGTCATGAGAACTCAAAAGGTTTTAGTTTGTCCAGTTTGGACGACAAAATGGCGGAGGATCCCCCCCCTCCAAGTAAATATAAAGTATTTAAATATAAAGGGCCCATTCTAGAGTAAAGAAAACAATTCATACAATTTAGATGAAACACACCAGTGAAAACATCACTAGGATTATTTTACATTCAATTTCTGCCAAAAATTCCTTTCACCTATCTTACACACTGAACCTTTAAGTAACTTCTTGAATGATAAACAACACAAACAGAGAGTATCTATTAAAAGAAACATTGATACTGTTAAGTTTGTGCCTCATTAGCTGGCAACTATTAAAAACATCCACATTTCAAACAGAACGTCTCATGACCTAAATTCAAAGGACAGACTCACATGCTTTATCGTCAACTTTCATAAATCAGTTTATATGCAATGATTATAATATATTTTTATGACAAATGACAATATTATGATTATAATTACTGCAGAGTTAGATGGTTGAGCTCTATTGCAAAAGAGAACATGCACAAAATAAAATAATTGCTTACACAAATGCACATGTATGTACAGGCTGAACAGTGTGTACGTGACTGGGAATGGGAATTAGTCATTTGCTCTCTAGTTTTTTTACTATGTTGATATAAGAAGATATCTAAGATATATAAGCTGTAGGTGTGTGTGTGTGTGTGTGTGTGCGTGTGCGTGCGTGCGTGTGCGTGCGTGTGTGTGTGTGCAGATTAGAGAGAAATCTGGAGAGATATGACTCACAAGTAAATTAAAAGTAAAAATCAAGACGGTGAGTGACAGAATTCGTTGTGGCAACAATCAAAGCCTCAGTATTTGAAGGTGCTTCAGACACTAGATCAGTGTCGGGCAGCATCGACAGTTACAAGCCCAAAAATGTAAACCACATTTGACAGGCTGCAGGACGTGAATTCTAACTCTTGACTTTTTTGTACTCTGTTTTTTCTTCTTCTCTGCTCTCTCCTCAGCGTCGGAGGTGGAAAGTCCCATCTGAATGTCATCGGAGTTGGAAGTGGAGCCGGTAAGAGCACACGTTTATGGGACACTTTCACTGCTGAACCTATGTTCTGTGTTACACAGTAAATAGCAGCAGTGTCCTCTGCGGCAGACAGCTAAGGTTAGGAGGCGTCGTTGAATTAGCCCACTGTAACTTCTCCCATTGCACTGCTGTCATTTATGGCCACGCCACTAAAAACCTTTACCCTTATTATCGCTGTCAAGGGTTTGTATGCATCTGTCCGGCCACCAGATTAATCTTTAACCTCGGTGCAGACGAGGCCACCTCACCAGTCTGTAATTTAACTGCACATTGTTTCCAGAGCTCATGATTCTGCAAGGTTAATTTGATCTTGAGCAAACGGACTACTGGCCCAGGAGTGCTATTACCCTTCCCCTATGTCAAAGCCAATTTAATTTACCTGAGCTGTCATGTTGGTATCATAATGGAGCGCTGTTACAGATTCTCTAATGGACTGTAAAATATGTTTGAACGACTACAAACTCCCCAGTAAGTTATTATTGGATCTTATTAGAAAGACTCGACATCTGTCCATGTTGGCTTCTCTGCTGAAAATTATTCCTTCATACGTGGCGACTTGTCAGCTTCAGTAAGACCTAGAACAAAATTGCCTGCCTGTGGCTGACTGATGTTAAAGAGAATATCATAGTGGTAACCTGTTCCATTGGTATGGCCGCATAAATGCACCATTTGCAAAATTGTCAATTGCTATTTGTTATTTCCTTGTCCCACTTGAACTCAAGTATCATGATAATGTGTTGGTCTTTAGAGTTCTTTTTTCTTATTTGCAAAAAATGGGTGGTTTAAAAAAACAACCATGTACCTGCAGGTGAGATTGACCTAAAGATTCTCTCTGAGCTGCGAAAGAAGCACCCAGAGGTGACTGTGGATAACGAGGTGGTGGAGCCCAGCAGCCAGCAGCTACATAACTACAAAGGTACGGCCTCTTTCCACACACGTACTCACATCTACCGCAAATTTATACTGCGTCTGGATATACCCCTCAATATACTGTATGTTTCAGTATTTAATTTAACAGGAAAAAAAGGTGCCGTTCTACTCATTGTAGTTTTTGATGGTGATTTTTTTTAAAGCAGCTCATGGCTTTCACACTCATGCATTAGTAATACAGTTATCCATGTAATAGGAGGAGGAGTTCCTTCAACCACCAGACTCAAGCCCTTGTGTCAGCAAGTATTCCCCCCTCTGATGTGTCTTTGATTAAAACTCTGAATCCCCAGAAGGGCTCCAAGTCTGCTGCAGATCTCCACACTGTTAATGCCAGTTCATATTCACACCATGTATTTCAAAACCAACCCAATTCTCGATAATCTTCAGCTTCCTCATTTGTATCCTTTGGGCTCATCTTTAATGCACTTTGTGTTCCTTATGTTCTTGTGCCAACCCGTTTCTCAGGTTGACTGTATTTGCAGTGTGACTTTATGTAAGCGGCTCACTCAGCTTCCTTACTGTTGACAGACGTCTTTGGGAAAATGTATATTTTTATAAAAGCAGGTTGTTAAGACTTGCTCACTCTTGCCCAACTTCAAACTGCAGCTCAGACGCAGCTGCTGCGTGTTGTTAAAGCTTCAAAATCTCAAAAAAAAGTGACTCGCTGCACTCAGTCTCATCCAGACAGTTCATCAGGTGCACATGTAGCGGGTTGTGTACTCTCTCTATCTCGTTGTGTGATGTAACAGGCTCAAACCCTCACCTTTGTAGTTGGTTAGAAGAAGTCATGTGAGGTCTCTAACTGCCAATTTCAGTTTTTTTTTTTTTTTTTTTTGCTGAGTTAGATTTGATTTTTATTTTTGCAAAATGTGGGATATTGTGACATGTCATTTGCACAAAGCAAGTTTGAATATCAACACAAATTCATTTTTTTTCCCGACGTCGTAACATTTCTGAGTGAATACAGTGATGCGTGAATTACAGCAACTGTTTATTCCCCATCTGCAGTTTCAGTGTCACAGAAACCAGAGTTGGATTACATCAAATTCATGTGGAACAAGATGACTGCCTCTGAGTTTGAGAAGCACTGGATAGAGAAGAAGATGACAAAGAAAGCTGACTTCATCCACATGATACAGGTCTGTGTTTTTTTACAATGCCCAGTTTCTGAGAAAGATTTTTGACACATCCAGGTCATATTCATTTGATAGTGCTGTGCAGCAATTAATCCCATTAGAGCATCTGTCTAGCGCTGCCCTATAATTGACTCTAGTCACCAGCTCATTATCTGTGGTGAAAATCGACAGATGCTGTACTACGTGAAGGATCCTGCAGCGACCATCAACTTCTTCCAGAGTCTCCTCGACAAGAATGGGAAGCTCCTTATCATCCTAGTCTCTGGTAAGTGCATTGATCATCACATTGTATCTATATGTGGTGTCTAATGCTGCAGGCAGTCAATGTACCTCATGCCTTTACAGTACATGCAGTTCATATAGGGATGAAAACCAGTTCAACAATGTAACTCAGTGAGAAATTACTACTGCTGAAAATAGAGGAAATCCTTCTCTTGCATTCAGGTGTATGGTTACACATTTCATATGGACGAATATTTTATTCCAATAATGATAATTTTACTTCTGCTAATGTGTTAATTTTGCTTATTTTAGCATTTAGCTTAAAGCATCACTGTGCTGTGTCTTCTAGTCTCACAGAGCTGCTAAGACTATTTTTTTGTAAATTTCTTTTTAATCTGTCGTCCAATATAATCTGTCACACACACAAAATTTACACACTGAGTAAGTTTCTTTCAGCAGTAGGAAATAAAATGGAGTTGAACTCATCTCCCATGAGAACATTGGGTCCACCCGATCCTAAGAACCCGTCAGGACGAAGGTGAATTTCATCTTCTGATCAAGCAGCTTCAAAATCATCCCATTCGCTGCCAAGTTTATTTCAGAATATCAGTGGTTGATACTCTACAAGCATCTCTTTCACGCATCACTCTCAAAAGAAGCAAAAAATATCATCCAAGTGATTCTCCAACAGCTCAAACAGATGGGAAAACACAGCAAATCGAACCTGTTCTAAATTCGTGTACATGACATGTAATGACCGATGATTTGGAGTTGGTGTGTAAACGTGATTGACACAAAGGAAGACTACAGACGTGGTGGGCACCTTCAGTCTTGTTTTCATGTGTATTCCAGGGGAGAGTGGTTGGGGGAAGCTGTGGAGGACTTACAGGCACCAGCTCAGTTCCATAGAAATAAGTCAGTGTGTGACCACTGGAGACATCAGAAGCCTCCTGGACTCCAAGGGTGTGAGCTACCAGAACTACGAGCTGCCGTCTCAAATGGATATCACCGAGTGTTTCACTGAAGGGGATGAGAAGGGAGAGCTGCTGCTTGATTTTCTCACCGAGGTGCTGAACTTCAGTAAGACGGCCTCGTCGGAGCTGAAAGCCGGAGTCCTGGAATTGCTCCGACATCCAGATTGCAGCGTGGAGTCCAATGGCAGAGTTATCTTTAATAACACCCTTGGAGTGATAGTCCTAGATCAGCTCTTCTAAATACACTTTCTAGTAATGTGAATGTGAAATTTGTACTATGATGATAACATAGTTGTTGAGTTTTAAACAGGATGATTTAAAATGACACATTTTGAACTCAAATGTAATTAACAAGCTTTAGCATATGTGGGAAATGCTTTGGATTGCAAGTGATATTCAAACTACTACTGCAACTGAAATATGTCTAGTTTAATTTTATGTTTTCTAATGATACTTATTTTGTTAAGTATTATTATTTATTCATTCTATATGATCTTCTATGCTTGTCCAAAATGAATATTGGCTAATTGTTTGTCTCATTTCCATGATCGTCTAAAATTCTCCAGCAAATATGAAGATCACAGCTTCAGATTCTTGCACCATATAATTTTAATAGGCTGCAGTTGGCAGACTGTGCTGCCAACCTCATTACAGTGCTGCTCTCGTCGGATCATAATACGTTGGAAATATGAAAATAAATGGAAAATTGAAAATGCCATATTTTCCATGGTGATAGAAGTCTTAATTTTAGATAAGCTAAATGCTCCTGTAAGAGTGGGTGGAAGATTTGGATACAGCTGTTGTGGAATTTACTTTAAATTGATGTGGTTTATGATATAAATACAGATCACTAACAATTTGAAGTCACTGACTGAAGCATCGTCAACCCACAAATCTTGCTAATTCTCTGTAGTATGGTTTATTCATACTGAATTAAGCGCATTGAAGTACTGTGAGGTTTTTATTAATCATAAAGACAATTATAACTACATAACTCAAATCTTATTATATCAAAAAAACATGTATTTTCACTTGTATGTGTGTTAAGTACATGCTGATACAGGCCATATAATGGTTAGATAAACACTGCCTCAAAGGCAGCACATGCTCTTTTTGTCTCTTATCACCCAGAACAAATGTTTCTGATATAGCTGAAGTACTGGCGCCATCTTGAGGGTGGTACTATAACTGGACTGTAAAATACAGGAATGGGCATATAAGGGTACAGATCCAGTACATGAAAAATGAATTAGCAGATCACTGACGACCACCACTGTCAAAAATACAAAATAATTAAATGAATACATGTGCGTGACTCATACATAGACGAAACTAGACACCAGTTACAAATAGTAATACAACTATATTTATGATAATAATGATAAGAAGAAGCTAAATGTGATGTTGTTTAAATTACAGCTTAAAAATGTGGGAAAATAAAAACTACAAACACTTGTTTGTATGGGATGCCTAGACACACACACACACACACACACACACACACACACACACACACACATACCTTAAATTCAAGCACACACAGAGAGCTATCTGCAATAAAATGGAATCTGTTGCTGCAGCAGTTAATTGAATTGCTTTTCTAATGGTTGTTCTTTGACTGCACCAAATTGAACTAGATCTGTCGGCTTCCTCTTTCTAATGTCACTGTACCTCATGCCTGAGACGTGTTGCTGGGAGCTATGTTATCGTCTTCAGCAAGATAGAGATCTCTTCAGAGAAGAGAGCTCTCCAGGTCAGCTCATGAATATTCCAAAAACACTGCTCTAACAGGAGTTCTGCTCCCTGATTTGAATGTGTCTAAAAACCAGAGTATACTAAAAACTATGAAACCTATACTGACGTTTAACACCTCAATCCTGTTTTTTGTTTTCGGTGTGTGCCCCAGACAGGCTCATATCTGATATAAACGTCTTGATGCCCAGCCACCAATCAATAGGACAATGACAAGCGTGTCACCATGGCAATGTTTGAAATAAGATTGTTTTTCGAAGTGCACCACACTTTGAGAACATCTCATGTCAAGGTAGGATACTTCAGGCTCTGAGTGTCCTCCTATGATCGATCAATCCCTCTGCCACCTTAAACTCAATTTCTGTTCCATAGATTTGACCAGAAGGTTTTAGTTATGTATTTGACATTTGGTTCTGTGGCATCCAGGCAAGATTTAAACGTAAATTTCAAGGGCAAAAAGTCTGATATCCTCAGGTGCTTGTTAATTACATTTCTTTATTAGAAAAAAAAAAGAATGACCTTTGTTTCACCTTCTATCCATCTAATGCAAATGCTTTTATTTGAAATGCTCATGAGTCAATGTTTAGATTTGAAATGAACTTTCTGTGGACTGTGGGACAATGAGACACCCAGAGAAAAGGCTGCAACTGCCAGTGGATTGAAAACAGCTGCTTTTAGAACTGTTGTTGCACAAGTGTTTTACACTCAGTGATCCCATTTTTAAATATGCTTCGTTTTCCATAGTTCATTTGAACGACTATCTTACATTTCAATTTCCTATACTTCTGCAGTTCTTTGTTAAAGCATAACCTAAGTTTTTGCTTTGCCAAATATAAGTCAGTGTCAATAACCATTGGATTTTAAAATGACAAAACCGAGGAAAATAAAATCCAACAGGCAGCTGGTTATAAATACAGTGATGTGATTAACATCATTAGGAGTGTGAAAGCATGCTTCATAATCCTAAATACTGCAAGAGACTCTGGAATGATTTAAACTAATATGATAAGTCAAAACTAAAAGTAGTCTACAGATTTTATAATCCACCTATGTGTAGCAAGCCCTGAAGAACAAGGACTGCATGTTGGCTGCAACTCTTAGTTATTCAGTGCTGAAGACTTTCCTGTTTGCCACTACCTTTAAATAAATCAAATATTTTTTGGTTTTCTACACGGTTACTTTTACTTTTTTATTACTTGTTTCTTTTTATTTATTTACTATGTGACTCATTTCAGTTTCTTTTTAAATTCCATTTTTTGCAACATCGTATCTTGTACAATTTGTCATGATCCCTTTTATATTTTATAGAAAGCACTTTAAATGGCCTTGTTGTTGACAGGCACAAAACAAATGAATTAAAAAAGCTATACATCAAAATAAAAGCAATAGGCGACATATATCACAGTAAAAGTAATAACCTAAATAGTACAATAAAAGTAACAGGCTATATTTTACAATAAAGTAATCATCGATATGACAATTAAAGTAATAGGCTATATATTACAAAAAAGCAATGGGCTCTAGTACAATAAAAGCAATGGGCTGTATATTATTGTAAAAGCTCAAGTGTTACAAAAAAATTACAAACTCAGTGTTTTAGTGTTTCAGGGGGAACCTGTAAAAAAACATTGGGAGGTGCAAAGTTAATCTCTCAAGGGTTATGCAAGAAGAACTCCAGGGAAAGTGGGTTAGCCAATCTGTGGGTGGAGACAGAACTGTGACTGCACTTTAAAAAGAGTGGGAGAGAATCGACCCTGTGGCTTCCACATATTCAAGGTAATCCTTACAAACTTTGTATGAGTGGCTCCGATCAGCTCAGTAACTAAATAACAGCCTAGTGCCTTTTGGGGTAGCATCAGGAAATGTGGTAACTCCAGGCTTTTTACTTCAGGTCTAACCACTTTGTGTGATGCGTTGCAGGGATCGGTCATGGCTGCAGAAGCAAAGCAGACTTGTTACGAGGGCAGTGCGGTGCAAAGCTTCAAGTTCTACCTGGAACAGTCTGGAGAACATGAGGCCATTGTGCGGGGCATCCACAGCCTCCTGCCAGCAGAGTTTAAAAGGTACACTCAGAAAGGTTGGAGTGCAGCACTTCACTTGCTTTTTTATCATCTTCCTGCTATTTTTACTGCGTACTTAGACGCAGCAGAGAGGTTGTGAGTGCCCTCTTTCGGTCTTCCAGCTTTTTGAAGCGATGGGATCATTTAGCTGCTTAACTGAGGTCTCAGCTAATTACTTCTCTCAATAGGTCTTTTCAAAGGGAGATGACATTCTCATTAGTAATTCATGCTGATACAAAGCTGGTGGTTGTTGCTAACCAATTGTAATGCTTTTCTATAGATCTAAAGTTGTTTTGTGTGCTTGTGCCCATTTCCCAAATCTATACAAGCCTGATAGTGCAAAGGTGGGAGTGTGTTCTAATCTTTGCATGAAATATTTCTATTTACAAGTTTTGCATAAAAGCACGTGCAATTTTGACTTAAGATATAATTAAGGCAAATTGTTTTGTGGGATTCTTACTGATAATACTATCTACATCTACTGCTCACATGTCAATGGTAAGATCCTTGTGAATCCCTGTTTCCACCTCTTAGCAGGATTGATAAGTGCTGTTTACTGTATATTCAGCCACAAACACACACACACACACACATATATTTATCAAAATATATTTATAAAAATATATGTGCAGTGAAATATGTAAATGAAATCTTGCATTACATAAATTGCATCCAAAGATGAAAATATATTCTTGCAACTGTCACAGAAAAGTGAATAAATGATATTATTCAAAAACCTACAGTGACAGATGCAGCACAGGTATTATGTGCTATTGGATAATTAAACGTTCATATATTTTGTACAATTTCTCATTTCATTGTTTTTTCTCCTCTCTTGTTTTGATGTAGAATTGGAGAAGGTAGAAGTGGTCTTGATGTTCTGGGCGTTGGAAGTGGTGGAGGTACGTGATGAAATACAACAACCATAGCGTGTACGTACACTGTGTATTGTTGTAGAGGTCATTTTAAGTGCAGCTCCTCCCGAACTGATTTTGAATCTCATCATGATGGTGCAATGAGGAGGATTGCTGCACAGCATTTGTGGGAGGACACTTGTTACTGAGTTTGTCCATGAGAGGTGAATGTAGGTCAACTGTCAATGATTACAACAGCGGCAGCTGTTCATGACTAAAATGATAAGATTCACATTCCCTCCCTCCCACTCTGTCTCTCTGTATCACACACATACACACATGTATTAGTTAGTTATTGTAATTGACATATGGATCTTTATGAACTTCTACAGTTGTTACAGAAATGTTTGCAGTGTTAAATTAAAAAACTTTTTGAGCGTTTTGTTTTTTTTTAACATTGAAGCAGCAGTACTCTGATGCAGTATGATTTCAAGCTGGTTCATTCCAGGGGAGGTGGACGTCCAGATGCTCTCTCTGCTGCAGTCGACATTCCCCGCTGTTCCCATCACCGCTGACATTGTGGAGGGCAGTGGCGAGCTCACAGATAACTTTAAAGGTATCGACAATTCAAAAACACCACACAGGGAAAGAGTTGTAATTATCTCAATTCCTTTTCATAGTAGAAGTAGTGTTAGGTCCAGCTGCTTCTTAAAAGACTGAATAAGGGCACAGTTGTTTCACATACGCCAATGGAAAACGATTACCACAGGTCAAAGATCGCCAAAGCCATGCTGCAGATTTGCTTCACTGCAGGAAGCAAATGTTTTATTGGCCACCTGGCTCGTTCTGATTGGAAGTGAACAGAGATGTGAACGTTCGTACGTGTATGTCTGCCACTTTGAGAATAAGAGAGTTTGTTGAACAGTGATCCAGCCAAAGACTTTAACCCTACAGAACACCTATGGAGAGACCAGAAGGTGACAGTTGCTTGGGAATAATGGGATAATTTGCTCTGATCCAGATGTGCAAGGTTTAAGGAAGAACACTGCAACACATAATTACTGCCAAAGGGGTCTGAATACTTCCAATTTTAGTTTTTGACTTTCAGTAAATTTGTTCAAATTTCTTATATGTTTTAATGGGGGGTGTAGATTAACGGGCAGATTTATCAGTTTATCATTAAATCTACAATACAACACGTGTGTAAAGACACTGTGTCGACGTCAATGAGAACAAATCTGACAGTGCTGTGATATCTGTTGATGTCACTCACGTCCCTGATATGTCTTGACTGCTTTCTCTGTTCTGTCCAACCTTTAGCTTTGGTAGCAAAGACCACCAACCTCCAGAAGGTCCCGTTTGCTTGGCACGTCATGCACAGTGAGGACTATGAGAAGCAAGTGAAAGCAAAGGGAAACATGAAAAAGTTTGACTTCATACACATGATCCAGGTATTAGGAGCTTGCTTTGTGGAAATTTAGTTGACGAATGATGTAAAGACTGTGGGGGTCACTGAGGACTGAAGAGTCAAATGTCAGTGTCTCACTTTGTGTAAGCAGCTCATGTTAGTCATGTATTCTACATCTCTATCATACATGGATTCATTCTTTACTCTGAAAATAGAAATCAATGTTCCCCACCTCTCTCTCCTCTGAACAGATGCTCTACTATGTGAATAACCTCGCTGACACTATCAAGTTCTACCACAACCTTCTGAAAAACAACGGCACGCTCATGATCATCATTGAAACAGGTATACAATTGGATTTTTTGTAATTACGGTGAAATTTCAATTATGTGTCTAAATTGCCAAAACCTTCCCTTGTTTCTTATCAGTCCGATTGCTTCCTGCTTCTTCCCCCTTCACTGCAAAACAAAGAAACATATCAACGTTTAATTTTTCACCATTACTAAAATTGTATTGTCCCTAGTTTCCCTCTGGAATCACTGTACTTTTTAATCTCCCCCCCACTAAGCCCACGCAGGCTGGGACACCCTGTGGAAGACGTACAAGAAGGAGCTCTGTGTGGACGCCATCACAGAGTACCGCTCGTCAGCAGAGGTGATCGCCTGTCTGAAGAGCCAGGGTCTGAAGTACGAGGAGCACATCATTCACAACACCTTCGACATCACTGAGTGCTACGATCCTAATAGCACCACAGGAGCACGTATGATGAATTACATGACAGCCAAAGAAAACTTCCATCAGTCCTTCTCCCAGGAGGTCAGAGCTGGAATCTTAGACCTCCTCAAGAACAAGTGCAGCACGGTGAAAGACGGCCGGGTGTTGTTCAACAGCAACACCAGCTGCATTCTGGTTCATGCCTGAGTACGTCCTGTTCTCCATTCAGTTAACTGTGACATTCTCACTTCAATCAACAAAATGCAACACATATTTTGTGATTACTAAAAATATCCTTAAAAGCTGTGTCTTGACTGAATAAAATAAAACATTTTGATACGTTAAGAAGTTTAGTTTCACAACAACTCCTTGTGTACTGTATTTGGTTGTTTGTTACACAGAGTACTGTTCTGCTGCTGCTGTAGCAATTTGGCCCAAGACAAATTCCATGGGGACAATAAAGTATATTTGATTTAATTTGATTTGAATTCATGTTTAATCAAAATGTGGGATATTACATCTTAACTCTGCAGTTACATTTCAACTCTATGAAGGTCTTTAGAGTCTTTCAGCTCTCCCTCTCTGTTGTCAGAGTAAAGAGACAGTGCTCTTTCAGGATGTTTAAACTCAGTTATTCCACAATGTTGACTCCCACTGTCAGAGTCAGGTGATCCTCTCTCTGTCTCCATCTTCATTTTGAATCGTGTCCCTTTCTTCCTTGTGTTTAGTCTTTTTCTCCTGTCCTTGTTCTCCCAGGGTCACTTCCTGTTGCAGTCTTGCTTCCTGTATGTCACATGGCCTCCCTCTGTTCTTCACTCCTCTTCAGCTCTTTGTCTAATTGAGTGAGCTGAGCCCTTCTCTGCTGCCTCTTTTGAGCTTTTTGTCTGAGCTCCAGTTGGAGCTGGCTCTCCACCGGGCTCCGCTCTCCACCAGAATAACCTGAACTTTTAGAGTCAATCCTGAGGCCCTGCACTGTTCTGGGACACAAGTAAACTGCACTGGTCAACATATGTGAAAAATAAAAAGCATACATGTAGTTCATGGCTGAATCTCCAGTCCCAACTTAGTGCAGACCAGAACTTTTTGAATCACATAGTGACAGAAACAGTAAACAAGTACACAAGTGTATTCCTTCAATTCTGTTCAAGTTTTTTTTTTTACATATTATTGTATTCATTTACACACTATACTATATCTATACATATGCAAATATTGTGCACTTCGTTGCTTTTTTTCCTCCTGCTTAGATTATAAACTACTTTTTCCTGTGTCAGTACTTTTACTCTTTTCATTTCAATTCAGTTTTATTTATATAGTGCGAAATCATAACATACATTATTTCAAGGCCCTTTACAAAGTAAGGTGCAGACCTTCAGTGACACAAAGTTGAATTTAATCTAATCTCATCACAGCCAACAATTTAAATTAAAAATTGATCAAATCTATTTCCAGTTACATTTGACTTTGTTTGGTTAAATCTGTAGATTACTTTGGTGAGATTTGTCTATAATCATTGTGTCACCATTCAATTTAATGTTAATGTCTAAAACACACATTTGGTTAGTTATGTTACAATACATCTTTCAAAAAAAATTACTCCTTGTCAACAGTTCTACAGCATATGTTACTTTGTGTACCTGCTTTATTTGTAGTAAACATTTTACAGTCAAAATATTACATAAAATGAAACAAATGAAGGTGAGCTCCAATAGTTCATTGAAAATCATTTAAATTTAAGAGGCTGCTGGTAATTTTTGTTTCGAACACAACCCTTAAAGGTGTCCCTTATAATTAGAAAGACCTACATTAACACCAGCAGATGGCGCTACATATCCAGATATTCAGCTGAGCCTGCGCCTGTGCTCTGCTGCAGTGTCTCCAGCAGATGGCACACTGGCCTCAGCTTTACATGTAACACATCAGCCGAGAGTGAGAACGCCAACTTTTATTAAACATGAGCAAAAACACACCATGTGTTAATGTGTGAAGAATAATTCCATGTTCCCACTCAGCAGTCACACTTCCAAAGTGATGTTGTGGCTGCACGCACACAAAGTCACGTCAAACCTCTCAGGTCTCGTCTCGAGCTTTCCCGCAAATGTATTCTGGCTGCTCATTTACCTCGTTAGCTTTAATAGGTCAGTAATTGAAATTCATCAGAAATTCTTGTCAGTGCACTCCCCCCTGATGTCAGTGGGCTTTCAGCACCTGCTCGGGCTCCATTACTGGGGGTCCTCGCCGGGCCCTCTCCTACTCCACAGAGTGACAGAGCATTAGTCACCGAGATAATCAACCTCAAGACATTGTTTGCCGCTAATGCTCATCAAGAACTATTTACTTCGCGTGCCAGTTGGTGGCTTATCGAAGGAGAAGTTCTTCACGAGATAAATGGGATGGAATGTTTAACGGATCGCCTCGTTTTCCAAGTGATTGATTATGCGGAGTGGTGCTGAACAGCTGGATGTTGTTATTTTGTTAGCTGGATTTTACTTTTATTTACTGCCAGTGGCGCACTTATTAGCTGATGACAAGCCCTGTCTCTCCGGAGTGCATTTCCCTGTATGAAACTCACCAGCATGATATTGTGCAGGTGGTGGATCCATAAATACTTGCTTCAGTTGCTACTGTAGCTCTACCCACAGTTCATCTTAGTTGTGAGAAGCCTCCGGGTGAAAGCCTGAGTCCTCTGGCCAGAGCTGAACCTCCCGCCTCTGGCTCTGAGGTGCTCATCAGTTTACTTTCACTCATTCTAAACGTAATGGGAAAATACCATTGTTATGTCTTCATCTTGTTTTGTCTGCTGCATTTAAACTCTGCTTTATTTCCTGAGGGCTAATTTGTTTGCAGCTTGTCTACTTGTTGCTAATGCAGAGATACTTGAGCTCAGGTGAACCAGAGTTACCTTCATTTTCTAGAGTAAATTATTGAGGTTTGATAAATAGACACAAATCTGGAAATTATATAAAACAATACATGAGTGGCAGATCGAGGGTTTTTATAATCCAGGGGCCATACAGAGGCAGTGATTTAAGACCTCTTTATTTCATCTGCTTTCAGAAAATCCTAGGGGCTAATTATTAATCAACATTCATGCAAAATGTCATGATTCAGTGAGATGCACGTTTAAGTTATTCCTTTTTAACTGTTAGCTCTATCTGTGATTATAACATACAAATCATTGAATATATTTTCAAAATTATTCCTTGTTCAAACATATTGTAAATTTACCCCCCCAAAACTTTTTTTTAGAATTGTTAGTAAGTGACTTGTTTGTGTTAAAACATAAAGACCACTTACAGGACAGGGGCACTTCAGAGGCCAATCAGATCTTAGCAGGGGCCAGTGCCCCTCTAGCCCTGCCCTGAATCCGCCCCTGTAACACATACACCATTTGAAACCAGAACTAAAGTAAGAAATTTAATCTTGTACAGAAAATATTCATCACAGTAATTCAAATCACTTTTTAGTTTTGATGAAAATAACTTTATAAGGATGTTTTGACAACAACAACAGGAAAGTGGACCTGCTACAGTAAATTTAAGAAGTCTTTCTGATAGTAGTTTCATAAGCTAATTAAACTTACCGAAAAAAACATCCATTTATGAGAACATGCAGGGAGCCATACTGACTGTCATCTGCACATTAATGATACCACTGACTATCCCAATTGTTTTTTGAAGGCAAAACAATCATGGTGTTCTGTTTTTTTTCTAAGCTGGATATTCACAGTTTGGCCAAATTGACTCTTCAGATGTCTATCTTCTTTAATATGGTTCCTTGCTCCTGGTCTCCTCTGTGTGGGGAGCTAGTATCAGGCCAGAGGCGTCTTCTATCAGCCTACATGTCAGCGTTTAGACCTCTCCAAGACCAGAGCAGGACATAAACTGGCCCTAAAATACATCACACACACTTTAATAGGCAGAGGCTGCGGCCCGGGCCTTGAAATATAGCTCTGATAGCGCTGCTGTAAATGGCCGGCCCTCTGCAGCATATATTTCATTCTGGAGAATTAGCTGTGTTTAGCAGCTGCTGCTATAAAGCAGCGGTCCTCCATAGTTCAGCAAAATATCCCCATGTGATTGACGATTGAGGATTTGCTTTTCCTTTTGTAAATTTGGTTTAACATCAATTAGCTCGGCACAAAACAAGATGGAGGGCAGAAATACCAGTTTTAGAATTCAGTTCTTTTTCTCATCGTGCAGATGTTGACTTGTGCTGTGGAGCAGCGTCTCGCAGGCTTAAGTCATTCCAATGCGATTAACCAGGAATCAGAAAGGGTGGGATCGGGCGACTCGGCTCTAATCAAGTTTACCTTTGTCTGTCTCATTAATCTAGTGATTCGGGGCCTTCCAGTCCGATCCTCAGGATTGTTCCAGTGGATGTGAATGTGGAGAATTGACATAGATAAAGACTGGTGCCATATTTATTCTGCCAGGCCAAAAAAACCCACCATTAATTGACCCCCTTCTGTTCATTCAATATCTTGATCAATTACAGATAGCACAACACATTTAGTGAGTTCATAAATTATATATTTCAGGTTATAGGCCTTTTGATTTTTGTGCTGCAACTGTGAAACTTCTCCTGTCGAGGGGAAAAGTTGAAAAATAAATATGCTACTTCAGAAGAATTTTGTATGAGCCTGACAAACGGTGATAACAATTTTGAGAAACAACTTGATATTGACTCTGAGCCATTCCTCTTTTAAGCCCATATTTGCTATTTGATAAAAACGAGTCACTGTCACTGGTTTGCTTTGTCAAACAGGAGAGTTCCTGAGGGTGAGATCCTCCTTAATTACACTCAGTGACGTTAACAAACTCCCTGACTCCCCTCACATGCTGCGGTGTTTGGGGGGGTGTTTGCAATTTATTTACTGTTGTGGGATGTGGAAGAAAAAAAAGGAACCCTTATGTAATGCTGATTGCTGAGCTTATTAAGTTTTTGCTTAGATTTCTATACAGTAACACACACACACACACACACCTAAGGTCATATACCATTTTACATTATTCTGTGCCATATGAGTCATTCTGCATTGTTCATCCTACAAGAACTCAAGTTTTTCAATGAAAATAATGACGATAATAATAATAATAGTAAAATAATAATGTATAGATTAATGTATAGATAAAAGGATGAGGTCAGATCAGGCCTTTAAAAACACCTGCAGGGGATATTAGCTGTTTCTTTATTACTGGTGTTATTGAGAATGACTTCTGTGCTGCTCAGCTGGTCGAGAACTGATACAAGACTCGTATTAAAACTGATCATGACAGAACAATCCTGCCAGAGGTTGGAACCAGTAGCAGGAATATTTGTACTTAATCCCTGTCATGAAAAAAAGA